GGCGGGCCGCCGTATCCAGCTCTCGGGGAGGCGGAGGGCAGGAGAATGGCGTAAAACCCGGGGAGGCCGGAGGCTTGCAGTGAGCTGAGATCCGGCACTGCACTCCCAGCCTGGGCCGACAGAGCCGGAGGGACTCCGGTTCTCAAAAAAAAAAAACAAAAAAATTGCCTAAATAATAGTATTGGATGAGCATGGAAGGAAAACTGAGACGGTCGCTCCTGGAAGCCCATGACTGCCTCCAGGAGGCTCTGCAGGGAGGGACACAGATCACAGTTCTGGTCCCGGATCCCCACTGTCCCTGCACTGCCCCTGGGGGTGACACGCAATCACCGCGACACCATGCTTAGGTGAGCCCTCATCCTCCCCAGGGGTGTCCATCTGAAGGAAGGGGTGGTCCCTGCAAGCCTCCCTGAGTCCAGAGTGAGATGCCTCGTGGCTCCATGATGCACACTGTCACCTCTCACTGCTTTGGTGCATGACCCCCACCCTGACTCTGCCACCCCCGGGGCAGGGGCTGTGCCCTGTACCTCTGCCTCCCCAGCACCCAGCACAGCGCCAGTGTGGGTCATCTGTACCCCATGGGTGCCTAGGAGATATAGGGGGTGGGCACCCCCTTGTTCACCACCATTGCCCAGGACCATCTGGGGGTTGTGTGCGCCACACAGGGGTCTCGCACCTGCAGCTATCACCCTGCAGGACCTTCCACGGCCCAAGCTGACTGCAAGTCTGATGGGACGCCTGATCCAGAATAACCCAGCACCCTCCTCTGGAAGATTCTACCAGGGGTCTCAGGTTCCTCCAGGTCTGGCCTTGGTTCCTCTGTCTCTGGACTCCAGATGCCTCCAAGCTCCCAGCGTCTACCTGCACCCACATCGTGTTGGGGTCCCCCCGAGAGCTGACCACGCCAATGCCTGCAGCTGCTCCCCCAGGCCCTCCAGGAGTTGGCTGGGACGGGGCCACTCGTGGGGCTAGACTGTTCCATCACGTCGTGGCGGCGCTATGAACAAGCCCCTGAGGGAAGTGGTCTTTCTCCCATATTTATTGGTTCATGTTCCCGGGACATGGAATAACGCTGCATGTCATGCATTAAAAAATTGTGTCACCAGTCTGAGCAAGGAGGCCTTCCAGAAAGACGATTATGGCCAATAAAAGCCCACAGGAAGATAAAATAAAACACATTTGTAATGGAGAAATCAATAGGTAATTTGGTCTAGCAGTTTTGATTAGGGTGGCTGGATCTACTCGCTGAGGCTCAGCATGGCTGCCGCCCACATGTGGCCATGACCCTTCACTCAGAGGTGAGCAGCTGGGCGTGTGCCTGAGCAGCAGCTCCAGCACCGGCTGGGCAGGGCCAGGTGGGGACACACCAGGACGTCTGTCCTGCTCCCCTCTGATGGGAGACTCAGAGGCTTCCATTCAAAGTCTCACTCTGTGCCCCTGTCGTGGGGAGGAGTTGCCTCAACTGAGGGCACCAGGACCCCATCACTGACCTGCTCTCCCCCGAATTCCCACCTGCTCTCCCCGGAATTCTTGCCTCCTGTGAGCCTCCCACAGGAAGGCCACCTCTGTCGCTGCCCAAAGGGAAAGTGGCAGAGGCCGGTTCTTGGCTTTTGAGCTTTAAAACTGAGGGCCACGGG